TGGAGGTGGAGAGCGTCCGCGTGGAAGATGAAGGGCGCCTGACCCAGATGAGGTTTGATGCCGCCGTGAAGGTGATCAAGAGTTTACCCCCGAATGGTGAGTGAACACCTCACTCGAAGCTCTCTTTCTCTCTCACACAGACACACATATACACACACAGGCCAGTTCAACCAGCTCAGCCATCCCCGGGCAGGTGCGGTGCAGCAGCTTGTGCGATTTAAATAATCCACTTTGGCCTGCTTGCTTTGTCCCCAAGCCATCACAGATTTGAAAGAAATAGAAATCAGCCACAACTCTGCACGTGGAGGGTAAGGCTTTTTTTATGTGATGAGAGTTTTCTTTTCCTCAGGTCCCTTTCAGCCCTCCAATGACATGATGCTCAAGTTCTACAGCTACTATAAACAGGCCACTGTGGGACCATGCAGCATACCCCGACCTGGCTTCTGGGATGTAGTTGGAAAGGCGAAATGGTAAGTTAGGGGGCAGTGGTGGTTGTGTGCTTAGGATTCCTTCAGAACTCAATTCTATGGGGAAAAAAATGTGATTTCAGGGTATAAAAGGAGTAATTTGTGCCAAGAGCAATCAGTATACTAAATAATGAGATGCTGTGTTGCTATGATTTGTTTGATTTGTTTATGGCTTGGTGAACCAAAGACAATTTTCCCTCGATGTGTGTAATAAAGTCTATTCTACTCTATTTCTCCTGCACTAATGGTGTAACAGGAAGATGCATACACTTCCCCACACTCCTTGTTTTAAATCTATGTGGATCAATGTACCTCTAAGAATAGTACCCCAGACACAAACCCTGTTGCTGTAATGTTTTATCATATTTTATCATTCTCTGGCAGTCACATGAAGACAGCTTGTGATATTCAGAAATGAAAATCACACTCTGTTAAGCTCAGGCTGTGTCAGGTGATCTCTGGACTCATTAAAATATATCAGTGACCTCTTACCCACAAAGCTGGACAGTTTCTCTCAAGGAGGGGCTTGTACCTGTGTGTTTTCTCAGTCCTTACACACGTTGGATACTGTCTGTCATTAAGCATTGAGTTTGATCACAAACCTTGAAGCCCTTGCTCACCATGATCTGCTTTGTCCTTCTGTAGACTCAAATATAGCTATATTCTTATTTGCAAGGCAGTTTTTGATCTGCTAGGTTGGTCAAAAGAAGTGCAGGATGTTACTGTTTTTGGTCTCAAAACCTATTCCTTCTGTAGTCATTTAAATGTTTAGATTCAGATAACTTGATTAATACCAAAAAGGTCAATTTGTTTGTACCTGTTAAGCATCTGGTCTTATAAATGATTTTTGAAGGACTTTGAGGCAGTTGCTTGAACTCTCCTGCCCTGTTTTTGGCCTGGTTTCTACGCAGCTGCTGATTGCACTGCTGCCTGTTCTGCCCAGGACACCCTTGAAAAAGTTATTTTTAATCTTAAACATGATAGTTCCGTGGTTAAATAAAGGCTAAATGAACACGTTTCATGGGTAGGTACAGTTTCTAATGAATTTTTAAGTGTCTGCCAAACTGTGATCCAAAGTTAGTAAATTAGTTGGTGTCCTCAAATAGTCTTTCCTTATTGACTCAGCTGAAAACTGAAACTGGCACAAAGGCCTTCAAACACACTTTTGCTGACGCATGACATTCTATTCTGTGTTCCACCTTATAAAATTATATAACAGTGCATGTTTTCTTCTTTTGCTTGCTTTTATGTATTTTATTTATGTATTTATTGTGATAGGGATGCCTGGAATTCTCTTGGAGAAATGTCCAAAGAAGAAGCAATGTCATCTTATGTTGATGAAATGAAACTGGTACGTTTTGAAGCACCTTTTTAACCTGTCCGTGTTTCATGTCCTTGTGTGTAATCAAATGACACAAGCCATGTGAAGAGTAACACAGATACATTACCTTTA